AGGGAGGGTACTGCCTGCTCAAGGTGCGGTGCCATCGACTTCTTGGCAACCAGCAGATCTTCCCTGGCAGGATCTGTGGGGCTTGCTGAAGCCAGAGTGGGAAGGAAAAATGGGAGCAGGAGCAAGATGAGATCTACCTTGTCTGGCTGACCTCGGTGACTCACTGCCATTTATATATCAATCACCTAACCTTGAGATCTAAACACCTTTTGTCCTCTTTGTCTTGAGAGATTAAAGGAAGGGAGTTTGTCCCTATTCTGAGAGGTGGAGGGTGGGGTCTCTTCAGTCTAATTTTGGGAGAAATGGTTTCTGCCCTCTGGACATCTCAAATTCCAGAGGAGGGAGTTGCAATTATAGAGAGTAAACAGATACAAAGTCACCAGCAGACAAATATGAACAGAGGAGCAATGCACAGCGTGGCTCACAATTAGTGAAGGAGGAGGGCTGAAATAAGGGCACCAGCCATTAGCTGGTGTTTATGAGGAAATAGCTTGTAGGAGCTGGGAGGTATGAGCCTCCCTGGCTTGGAAGGAGGGAGGCCTTATTAGCTGCAGAAGGCAGAGATGTCCTGCGGTGGCTGGTGCTATAGGAATGGATCATAAGATAAATGTTCACCCTTAGGCTTTTGGTCATTCTAGGCCCCCTCACTGGTTGGACTGGAAGGTAATGTAAAACGTGTCCAACTGTCAACATCTGCTCTTCAACACAGGCCCAAAACAAACAGCCCTGAGAGCAAGAAGGTCAACACCAGATGCCTTTGTTTACAAAACTTGAGCTTTTAAACAGGGTCAAAGGGCATTCCCAGAGTAGCTGGGTGCGGCCCCAGGGAGGCAGGTTTGGGGAGGTGAAATCTGTCAGCATCGAGCCTCTTCCTCAGAAGGGCCACCTGGACAGGTTGTTCTCAGCATGCGGTGACCAGTGACAGTGTGAACATCACTTCGGTTTAGGAAGCTGTTCTTACTCATCTGATCTACACTAGGGCAGAGGAAGCCACCCACTATATTTTATGGAGAAGGAAACTGTGGCCTGAAAGGCTGGTTTAAGGTCACACGTCAGGGCCAAGGCTGTCCTTTCCACTACCCGACACTGGCCCTGCCTCACGACCCTCTAGCTTTTGGACTTGAGGGACACGGAGCCTTCCTGGACTGTGCACCCCGGCGAAAGGCCAACTGGTCGTCTGCATTTCAATCTAGCTCTGCACATTTCATGAGAAACCCAACGAGGAGGCGGGAGATAACGTCTGGGAAGGCGGCCCACCTGGACTCCCTGGCTCTCAGCGAGGCCAGCGTCCCTTCTCCGAACGCGGCTCACCTCTGCCCCACCAGAGCCCTGCTTGGCAGGGGAGAGCCAGCTCGAGACAGCGAGCACTGTCCCCTGCCAGCGCGCCCCCGCCCGCGCCCTCCGGAGTCCGTGCCCATATAAGGCCTGCGCTTCCAGGCGGCCGGGCCGTGACGCGCCGCGGTCCACGTCAGCGGCCAGCGGGAGGCGGCGCCCGCTCCAAAACCAGTGACGCTGCGCAGTGGGAGGCGGAGGCAGCTGCGGCGCCCGCCCGGCCGCGGTTAACTCCTGCGGGGCCGCGAGCTCCAGGCCTGGCCGCTGCTGACTGCCAGGAGGGATTGGAGCTTCTGCGCAAATGCGGGTGCTGAGCCCGCTCCCGGTGGCCTCGTGCCCTAGCATTCTGTCCCTGGCGGGCACAGGGAGTTGAGTCTCCGAGACCACCCTTGGGCATCCGAGTGCGTTCAGTCTGCACATTTTGCCTGAGATGAAAAGGATGCGAAATTCATGGACAGCCCTAGTAGGTAGTGTGGAGTGCATTTTTGGCTCTAGAGCCCAGGGAGTTTGCCCTCTGGGTTGTTGAAAGACAATCTCATGTCCCATTGGTACTTGATCTTTTCCTTCTTGAAACAGACAAAAAAAGAACCCTACTAGGCATCAGTGCGTCCGGAGAGCCCCCAGAAAGTCTATGGGGTGGTGCTGCGGTAAAGGGACCCCCTTCCCACTATGCCATACGCCTTCCCACCCAGTCCCCAGCCAAGTCAGATAAAAAGGTCTAGCCCCGGAATGATGGAGGAGGAGCCTAGAAAAGGAGTGTTGGGGAGTCCCCCTTCTAGGTGAAGGCCAGGAAACAGAAAAGGAAGAGGTACTGTTTTGAGAAAAGCGCAAGACTCAGTTTCAACTGCATTTCATCAGACGCCTTGTTGGAGATAGGGGTGGCCTAGTTGCTGAGTCCTGCTGTGCTCAGGTGAGACCTATTGGAGCTCCGCCCTCGCCTGCCTTGTCTCACCTGACGTGTGAGTGCGTGACGTGTGAGTGCGTGCCTTTGTGCATGAGCACCCGGCATGCTTATGAGCGGAGAGGCAAAGGGAGCTAACTGTAATAAAAGGACTCCAAGATGAAGGGAGTGAGGGGAGTGAGCGTGTGAGGTATAGGATGCAGATGGGAAGAGTCAGATACTGGCCCTGGGGCTCATAGCCCCAGGACATGCTGGGGAACTTGGCTGACTCTGTCTGGGGGAGGGGCTCGGACTTAGGGGAAAGTCCCAGGGCCTCCCAAACCATCCCTTTACACTCAGGATGCTCACCCACCCACACTTCCTCTTCTAAGACCCACTTCCTCTCTTTTCTCTAAGATCAATCTCTGGTTGAGAATTCGTTTGATGGAAACATCACCCCATCCCCAAGCTCTGGGTACAGTGACAGAGTAGGCATAGGAGTGTGGGGAGAGAAAGTGGCCCTCCTTGGCAGGGAACTGGTGGCAAGTTTGCTTCTGCTATGGACAGTGTCCCTGATCTTGGTCTCAGGGTGGCTGAACAAAATGAGGCTAAGTCTGGGAACTTAAAAGTCTGGCAGGAGCGGGGGACTTCCTCTCTTTGATGGGGGTAGGGGGCTTCTTTCCTCAGTGTCCTGGGACTGGATAATGGCAAAATTATTGGAGAACAAAAAATGAAGGGATAATGTTCGTGCCTGCATAGTGGTCATGACTGTGGGCTTTGGAGTCAGTTGGGACTTCAGCTCTGCCATTGGCAATGAGGTCCTGGGCAGATTTTTAACCTCTTTGAATCTCTATGTCCTTGTTTGAAATAAAACTATTAGTTATATTCATTCTTTTGAGAATTAAAAGAGGTCATGTTTATTAAACATTTTGCATATATTAATTTTTTCCATAATATTTAGTACCTGGCACAGAGTGGGTACTTAATAAAATAGTAACTGCTGTTACTGTTAGTAGCAGTAGCAGTAATCATGGAAGTCCTCTCCAGGAAACCTCATGGGGAGTTAGCCAGAATTATCAGGTGTGCCAGTCTTGCCTTTGGTGGCTTTGTGCCTCTCAGATGTCTTTGAGGTCCCTCTTGTTCCTCATCACCTCTGCCACCTCCTCTTCCATCCTGACCCCAGCCTGGCCTGAAAGGAAGAGCAGCAACCATGGAAATACAAGGTGTTTATCTCCCAGCTCTGCCCTTCCCTGTGCCACTGAGCCCTTCTGAGCCTCAATTTCCTTCTCACTGATACAGGGGGGACACTTTCTGGCTGGAGTCCCTTACCGTGAGAGTCATGAGAATAAGCGCTGGTGGAAATATTTTGAAAATAGCCGCTCCCGGCCCAGTCCTCCCCTTGGTGAATTCTCTCTTCTCATTCTCAGCTACTCCCTGCACCTCAAGTCTCCCTCTGGGTTCTTGCACAGCTTTGATTGCTTGTGTTGGAGAGGTTAGTCTGACTGAACCTCCTCAGGGCAGGAAGTAAGTCACTCATTTCCGGACTCCAGTGTCAAGTCCAGGGCAGGGCACACAGTAGGAGCTCAAACAAAGCAAGTTTCCTTTCATCTATCAGCACATCCCAGTGAGGGGGCAGAAGGAGGAGGCCTCGGTTAGAATTTGGGGAAGCTGCATCTGTCCTCTGGGCTGACCCAAGTCTTGGGAATGAGAGGATCCATTGGAAGACAGGAGGGGAGCCTTCCCAGAGCGGCCAGACTCAGGGCTTCCAGCTCTTCACACCACACAGAGCCCAAGACCGTGTCAGTCTCTTTAGGGCCACAGTAGAAACCTCCAGCCCTCAGCCTCTGTGGGGAGCCCCACCACCTGGGAGGAAAGCAAGCATTCTGCCTAGAAGAGAAGCCACTGGGTAACAATTCCACTTCCTCCCGGCAGGAGCGCTCACCCAAACCCACCTCTTCCCTCTGCCACCCAGAGCCACCCATTTCTCCCTTGCTGCCTCATGACCAAGAATAGCTGCCCTCACCCTTACTCTTGTGATTAAAGACCTTGGCAAGCAGGTGACCCTCGGGCCTGTACCTGCTCCCCTGGCAGAAAGAGGAAGACCCGTGGCAGCCTGTGGGGCCCACATGTCCTTGTGGGGTGAACTCTGCCTGCTGAAGCCACATCCATGCTCCCTGGGAGGACCTGCAAGTTAGACTTGAGTGCCCTCCGCTGCTGCTGGCTGACTTCTAGACACCCACTCTCACCAGTATGGCCCTGGCACACACACTGTTTACTACCATAACTTGTCTCTGAGAAGCTTTGCACAGGATTAGRAGGAAGCAGCTTCCTGAGAAAACCAGGTTGTGCCTGGARTGGTGGCTCATTCCTGTAATCCCAGCAATTAGGGAGGCTAGGTTGGGAGGTTAACAAGTTGGAGGCCACCCTTGATAATTTAGTGAGGCCCTAAGCAACTCAGTGAGACCCTGTCTCAAAATAAAAAATTAGACTGGCGATGTAGCTCAGTAGTAAAGTACTCCTGGGTTCAATACCCGGTTCCAAATAAAAAAATAAACAAATAAAGCCAGGTGGTATACTCCCTGAGGGCTGACCCTCCCAGGAGAGATTTCTCATGACTGTTCCAGGCAAAAAAAGAAAAGAAAAAAGAAAGACTAAGAAGCAGAAGCCCTAAATTCCAGGCCACTCAGAAAAACCTGAAAGAGAACCTCAGGAGGTTTTTTTTTTTTTTTTTTTTCCCTAAGAAAAATGACCAGGGTGGCTGTTAAGACCCAGTGAAACTGTGGTTACAAAGCCCATTGTAAGGGATGCCATCACCGGATCCGTTATTTCTGCCTGTCACTCCCCAGGCCTCAGGTCTCCACCAGCTGCCATCTCTGCAAGTGGTCCTGCCTTCTGAAACCCCCTGCTGGGGCGGCAGAGTGCACCCACCCCAACTCCTCAGGGCTCACTCATTCACAGTGCACCTGTTGCTGAGGGCGGGGGACATAGCCTCAAGTGTCTTCCACTTGAGTGATCTGCTGCTTCTCTATCCATCACGCCTCCTTCCTTGTCCTGAGGTCCTGAGAGGGGACAAGTTCACTCCCCCAGGGCTGGTCCTGGGCCTCTGTTCCCTAGCAGCACAAGCGAATTGTTTCTGTTCAATGGGACTACGTAAACAAATCGCTCTCTGGCTATGGAGGGCTTACGYGTGTTCTTTCCTCTTGTGAATCACGGTAGTTTGGGATTCATTGGGATCCTATAATCAACACTGAACAGCTGCTGGCTGCAGGAGGGGCCCTGAGAGCCAGGCAGAGCCAAGTCCTGTGGAACCAGAGAATGATTGGGGGTTTTGGAAGTGGGGACAGTCATAGCAGTTCCAGATCTCAGTTCTCATCAGGTTGTCCTTCTGGGTCATCTCTCCTCAGAAGTGTGAAGGAAGGCAAACCACCCAGCAGTTTCCTGTCTGAAAGCCATTGGCACAGCCCACCATTAGTGGGCCGCCCATATTGTTGGGACCCGTGAACTTCTGAGGTGGGAAGTGCTGGCCAGCACCTGCCCTATTGGCCAGGGAGCGGAACGTTGTGGAACATCCAACTTGATTCCTGGCTTATCAAGCAGGAACTGGGATGGAGACGGGGTTTTGAACATCCTTCCAAAGGTCCAGAGACTTTTCCTTGGGCTTGGTCATTGTAACAAAAGTTCCTCCTCACCCAAAAATCTCTAAGACCAGTGTGACAGGTGGTCTATGGAGCAGACAGCTGTGGCACACTGCTTGTCCTAGCTTGGACAAGTTACTTCCTGTTTCCCGGACTTCTTTCTTCATCCACAAAATGGAAATGACAGTGGACTCTCTCACATGGGATAGCTGTTGAATAATGAGGTAATGCATGTAAGACCCAGGGCTGCAATAAATACTGTTATTCTAAGAAAGGGTCTCACTTGAGAGGCCTTGTCGTCTTCCTCCACCATTGTGAAATGAGTCTTTCCCTGATTCTGACACTTTTGAATTAGGCCAGTGTAATATGTAGGCATACACACATACACATGCATACATATTATGTAGCATATATTCGATATAATATATGGGTCTGTCTAGCTGCCTATCTATCCATCCTCTGGCCCCTGAACTCTGGTGCAGCAAGAGGAAGTCTCACTTTCTTCATTTGGACCATGGAGAGCACACAGGCACTTTCCCAACAGCAGGAGGGTGATATGAGTCACTCTGGCCCATTGGGAGTGGGGAGGGTTGGAGAACATTTTCAGTGTAAGAAACCTGGTTGGCCAACGTGCCCGGGACTATTCATTCAGTCCCTCCCGGTGTCATAATGATATGGATTATCTCCCAGAACTTTCATGTTTATTGTGTTATTTAATTTTCACAATGATCCCACAGAATAAGCTAAGTTGTTTATTATTCGTCTGGGGATTGAACACAAGGCCCTCTACCACTGAGCTACATCCCCAGCCCTTTTTCTTTTTGATTTTGAAGCAGGGTCTCACTGAGCGGCCCAGACTGGTTTTGAACTTTAGGTTAATAAGATGTTATCCGAGAGGCCAACTGGGATGGGACCTGGAGCTCCTACCTCCTGACTCCCTGCTCCAACAAGCCATCCAGATCCCATCCATCTTTGCCCCAGGTGACGCTACTAGGAAGCCCAAGGTGACTGCAGCAGGAAGGAGACTGTGGTCTGTAATAACAGCACAATTTAGTAACAAGTTGAGTCAGGGGTAATTGGGGGCAAACACCGGGCAGAGAAAGGACTGACCTTGTCAGACTTGGCTCATCCTCTTTCCTCTTCAAACACTCCCGCTCAATTGTTGACCTCCCAGCATCAAGGAAGTACGTGACACCACTGCCAGAAACAAAATGTGCGGGTCAAGTGCACGTCCAGTGTGCAAACAAGAAATTCCAGGTGCCCTGAGAGGGAGCGGTGTTGCTGGCCTGGAGGTCACAAGAGCTTCCTGGGCCTGCATTCTGTGCTGACCGTGGAGCTGGGAGTGAGTCACTCACCCTTCACAGCACCTGCCCAGGGACAGGGGCAGAGCCTCTCAGCCCTAGCCCCAGCTCTCCTGCATGGTGCCAGGAGTCAGGAGTGATGTCTTCCTTCCTTCCTTCCTTCCTTTTTCTTTTTTCTTCCTTGTGATGCTGGGAGTGAACCCAGGGCCTCACGCATGCTGGGCAAGAGCTCTAGCACTGAGCCACATCCCCAGCCTTCTTTTGTTTTTTATTAGAGACAGGGTCTCACTGAGTTCCTTAGCACCTCGATAAATTGCTGAGGCTGGCTTTGAACGCGCGATCCTCTTGCCTCAGCCTCCCGAGCCACTGGGATTACAGGCATGCACCATGGCGCCCGGTGGGAGTATGGTTTTAAGCACCTTGAACTCTCTGAATGCTACCAACTTGCTGAGCCTCAGTCCCTCCTCTTTGCCATACATGAGGGTATTGGACTAACTGTACCTGAGGTCCTGTGGGCCTGACGGCCTGTGGTGATCTGTGCCAAGTGACCCAATTCCTTCCATCCTTTGTGAGACCAGGGTCTCCAGAACCCTTGAGGTGGGAAGGGGCAGAGAAGAGATTCCGCAGGGGCAGAAAGAGTCTCCTTGAGGGACTTGAGAGTGGAAATAGGTTTGCCCGCTTCCAAGAGGAGTCGGGGCAGGGGCAGGTGGTATCCTGTTAGAACCATTTCTAATAAACCAAGCTCTGTACTAACCAACTTACACATACCATTTCACTTCATTCCTTTGTGTTCTTTCGTCTGTAGTTCTTGGGATTGAATCTGATGCCTTGTGCATGCTGGACAAGCACTCTGACATTGAGCCACATCCCCAGCCTTTTTTTTTTTTTTTTTTTTTGAGACAGGGCCTCACTAGGTTGCTGAGGCTGATATGAACTTCTTTTTTTTTTTTTTAAATATTTATTTATTAGTTATTGGCGGACACAACATCTTTGTTGGTATGTGGTGCTGAGGATCGAACCCGGGCCGCACGCATGCCAGGCGAGCRGGCTACCGCTTGAGCCACATCCCCAGCCCCTGATATGAACTTCTGATCCTCCTGCCTCAGCCTCCCAATCTGCTGGGATGACAGGGGCACATCACCACACCTGGCTCATTTAATTCTTATGGCAATTTTCTTTCTTTCTTTCTTTTTTTTTTTTTGTACTAGGGATTGAACCCAGGGGCACTTAACCACTGAGCCACCTCCCCAGCCCTTTTTTATATTTTATTTAGAGATGGGTCTCGCTGATTTGCTTAGGGCCTTGCTAAATTGCTGAGAGGCTGCCATCAAACTTGTGATCTTCCTGCCTCAGCCTCCCCAGCTGCTGGGATTACAGGTGTGCACCATCGCACCCTGCTATGGTGACCTTTTGAGTAAGTATTAAGCCCATTTTACAGATAAACTAAGGTTCGGGATGCTTAAAGCTATACTACAGAGTCTAGATGAGACTCAAATTCAGGGCTCATGTTCTTTCCATCCAACTAACAGAGGGTGAAGGGCATAACTAAGACTATTCTTTTACTTAGAGTCTGGGCCTTTTCTAAATCCTGCTGGCACCATCCCCTGGCTAATGACACTTGCAGAGAGGCAGCCCCTTCTAGGAGTTTCCATTCATTTTTAATGGCCCAGCAGCTGTGGCCTCCCACACCCCATCGACTAGCCCAGGACTTTCTCTGCAACCAAGCGCTCTCACCATGTTGGCGCCTGTCAATGTTTAATGGCAGCAAAGGATCTTATCTCAGTTACCCAAGTCGTTTAGATTACTCCTGCTCAAGGACCTGGCGTGTGGGGGAGGTGGCAGATGGCAGTCTAAACATCACCCCTCCGCTCTGCAGAGGGAGGAGGGGCTATTGGAGTGGAAAGGGTGGCAGGAGASAGTCACTCTAAGGGACAGAAAGTCTGATTGTGCATTTGCATGGCTCTGGTCACACTTGGCTCCACTGGCCCTCGGCACCTCCCCGTAGGGAGCACTTCTGGGTGCCCACTGCATCCCCGGTCAGCGTCCTCCTGGGAGACCCCAAACACATCGAGTGAGTGGATGGCTTTCTGTAGGCCTAAACACAGATGTCCTTTGCTTCCACTCTGATGTCCCCGGAGCATCTGAATCTGCTTATTTTCCTGGGGGAACAGCATTCTTTGTTCCTCTTATAAACTGTTGAAAACAAGGACCTTGAGTGTTCCAGGGACAGAAACAGGTTGCAAAGAACACGTGAACCATACCTTTGGCCCAATCCTGCCATGGACCTGTGAGCTGGGGGGTCCCCACACTCTGGGTCCCAGCTCTAGAGTACTCAGGGGGAGGGACAGATTCTTGCTGCTCTCCCAGGGCCAGGGGAATGCCCGAGGCAGATGACCGAGTTCTATTTGGGGAGTAGAACGTCACTGTCCCAACCCAGCTGGGCGAGGCCACTCAGATGTTATTTACAGACTTTGCCTAATGACCCAGCCTCCACACTGTGACGGAGAGCAACGGATTTGCGGCCTTCTTCAGTTTCTACTGCTCTTGGACTTTATCAGGTCCTGTCACAATGCCCCCCTCCTCTACCTTCACTCTGTCCAGGTGCACTGTGTCCCCACAGCTGATGAGTCACTCACAGCTGGGAGTCTGGGAAAAAGTGTTCTTAGAACAGAGGGAGGGGCTTGGGAGCAGAAGAGGGTCCCCCACCTGTGCCAGAGGTCAGAGAGGTTGCCAGCCATGGGTTGGAGGACTAGGAACGGGAGACAGGCAGGAAGGTGAGGGAGGACAGGAGGGAAAGAAGGCCAGTCCTCTCACAGGACTTCTGTAGGTTGGGGAGGGGGGTATGAGTAAGGATGAATTCACAGGCAACTTTGCTCCTAGTTCAAATGGGAAGTCCAGTTGAATGTAACCAAAATGGCTAGCACATCAGACAAACATTCACAAAACCAGGGCCCTGGATTCCTGAGGTGGGTTTTGAAGGTTGAGAGTAAGAAAGCCTAAAGGATAATTCTGAGACCCTGTGAAACCCAAAGTACTGCTTTTTTGGGGAAATCAAGTCCCAGGAGGATGGCACTGATTTCCCTCCTAGGAAGGACCTGTGGGAACCTCAAGAAAACCAGACAAGCCAGCCGTGGTGGTGCACGCTGGAAATCCCTGCGGCCGAGTTGGCTGAGGCCGGAGGATCACAAGTTCGATGCCAGCCTCAGCAATTTAGTGAGGCTCTATGCAACTTAGCAAGACCCTGTCTCAAAAAATTAAGTGGGCTGGGGATGTGGCTCCGTGGTAAAGGGCCCCTGGGTTTAATCCCTGGTCCCAGGGGGGGATAAAAAGAAGAAGAAGAAAGAGGAGGAGGAGAAGGAGAAGAAGAAGAAGAAAACTGACAAAGGGCAGCTGTGGGCAGTGTTGCCATTGTTCTCTCCTGAGGTCCTGTCCCAAGGCTCCCTCTCCCTAGGGCATAGGTCCATCGAAAAGGAGCTCCAGCAAAGCCACCACTACAGGGGTTGGGTTGGGCTAAGAGGAGGGGAAAATTGAGTCTGAGGCAGAAGCAGGGTTTGGTTCTGCCTCCTGAGTCAGCTGTGACTGCCCAGGGCCAGAGAGCAGAGGCCTGCGCCCAGCCCAGAGCATTGGGATGCCGCTCTTCCAGGATTTTACAGCTGAGCTCTCTGTGGTCTCATGGCACTGAGCTCTTGTATAGAGGTAGGTTTTGAAGGTTGAGAGTAGGAAAGCTTAAATCCTGAGACCAGTAAGCTAAACAGGAAAGATGATAATCGGTGGATACCCACTAGGCACTCTAGGGGATCCTTTATGTCTTATTGGAAAATAAGGAGTGGCTGTCTTACAGGAGGAGTCTACAGGAGTTGCTAATAGACAAAATGTAGGTTGTGAGAGAAAATAATCGGTGTACACCCTAGGGACTCTAGGAAACCCTTTATGTCCAGTGTCGCAGAAATTTCACAATTATCTTCTAAGTGAGGTTCGATTCTTTTTTTCCCACCTCACAGGGTAGGAAACGAACGCCTGGAGAGGCTGAGCAGCTGGAACCTCTCACAGGTGGCAGGGGACCGGGCAGGCATTGCCCCAGGCCCTCCGGGAAGCTGGCCCTGAGCCTGGCACTCCACCCTGGCAATCTCAGGCCTCCTCTCAGTGCCCCACTGGGCATCAGCTCTGCTTCAGGTGGTGACCTACATATTGGAAACGCGAAGGGGAGCGGGACACGGTCCTCCACCCTGAAGAATTCATGATTTGGAGGACACAGATGTGACTAGGAACAAGTGAGATAAGCGGGCGGAGTCCTCAGCATTCAGGGGCGCTGGATCCTGTGCCAACCCGGCAGGTGAGAAAAGACACCTGTGGGGGGTCTGTGGGCCGTATCTCAGAGATGGGACGGCTTTGCTGAAGGACCCGGGTGGGGATCGCGCTCCTGGCAGATGGGTTGTGTGCGCCCTGTCCCGAGGTGTAGAGGGCTCGGCCTGGTTGGAGCCGAGGCCAAGACCGCTTTTTGGTTTGGGAGGAGTGTGGGGAAGTCTGGGGGTGACACATGAAATGGAGAGATGAGCAGGGTGGTCTGGAATGCCTGGAAAGATCACCCCGAGGCCAGGGACACCACTGTAGGTTCCCAAAGGGCAGCGGAGCCATCAGGTTTGGGTTTTCCAAAGATCTCTTCTTGCATGCACTTCTGCTTTTTTCGGGATGACGCTGCCTGGGAAATCTGGTACGAAGAKAGGCGGTAAATGTTTCCAGGAAATAAAAAGTCCTCTGCTGCGCATGCGTGTCTCTTGGTGTGTCCGGCTATAAATAGACACAGCGCTGGGTCAGAGCCTCCCCCAGCGCCCCGAGGGCAACTTGCTCACACTCGGAGCTGCCTCTGCCCCTCCTCTCCTCCTCCTGGCCAGGCTCAGCCCCAGCAGCCCTTTCATCACCCAGCAGGCAGGGCCCAGGGTTGGCACCAGGACTGTCTGCTCTGCTGTAGCAGATTCCCCTTAGCACACAAAGCCAGCGCAATGCTGCAGCCGGAAGGGTGCGCCTTTGGCCAAA